CAAAGTAAAACCCACCTCAGTTTCATTTTATTTATGATGGTTAGATGGTTTTTTTGTAGGCCTAAAGCAGACAGCACTTCAAACCATGTTATATATGGGAAATGAAGTATGAAACAGGAAGTTCCAACAGTGTAGCTTCTAAAATTTGCTAAATGGTAGGGGCCCCCTGAGACTATTATCCCATACTAAAAGATTAAGCCAGTAGGAATTTTGTCTACAAATGCTGCTACAGTTTCTTCCAGAAGATGCGCTGTCCAGCAGCAGTTTAGAAAGTGGTGGGATGATGAACTTTACAGCTTCAGAACTTTGGATCCCTTAGTTAGGTGCTAGATTTTCGTTAATATTTTCAAGTGGTTTGTACGTACACAGTCACTTTTTGTTCTGAAATCATATTTCTTCATACAGTATGGACATGTCATAGTGTTGTGTTTATCCCATGAATTCACAAATAGGAGATTTGATTGATTAATCTCTAGGAAGGGCAATAAAAGTAGAACTGGAGAAAAACAGGTTAACATATCCCGAATAGAAGAGTAAGAAAAAATATCAACAGGCTTCAGTCTTATTACTCCACCAGCCAGCGCCTGATAAAGATCAGTAATATTGCTGTGATAAGCAGTGTGTGACCATGTAAGATGACATAGTTCCTGTATGGAATTATTTTACAAATTTAGTTAAGACAAGCTGCAGAAAGTGAATAAAAATAAGGAAGGGGAAGTGAAGGCACAGATAATAGCAATAAGATTATAATAAATTATACATCTAAATGTCCTAATTGTTCACAATGAGAATGCTCAAGCTGTGGTGTTTTACTTTTTACTTTTCCCCTCTTCCTGTTTAAAATTTTTAATTTTGCTGTTTCTTTATATATTTAATCCTTAGCCATTAAAAATTGCAAAGATTGGAACCTCCTCCTGTTCTCAATGTTAATTATATTTAAGACAATTAATTGCATCATTCTTAGTGCAACTTTTATCACCATGAACATTTTAACAGTCTTGGATATCTAGTCTAATCTCTGTTTCCTTATCCTCTAATCTGAAATGCTTTTTATTTCCTCATCACCAGACCAGGACCACCACTTGGAAAGTCTCACCGACCCCAAATTTAACTTCTACACATGTAGAATAGCAAAATGCTTTTACCTTAATGGTCGTGAGATGGTGGATATTGAAATCACATTAATTTTGACTATCTTTTATTAACTTCTGTTTCAACATCATCTTAATAGCCTATCTTGAGATAACCTTGCTAGGCTTTCTACAAGCCTAGAATGTGAGTTTTAAGATTTATAATGTGTTTGAATTCTTGTCTGTTTGTAAAACAGCAACTTCTATAATTTCAATAAAAAATTAAGAGTATGTATGTAAACAGGATGTGAGTATAGAACTTTTTTAAATTCTATCTTATGTTCTGCAAGACATGGAACAAATGTTGTATAGCCTTACATTGCATTCATGTGTTCACTTATAACTATTCCACTTACTGGATAGCTAAGACCAACAGACAAATTCTATGACTGTCTTTTTGGTCTAACTATTTTTCAGAAAAGGTTCAGTACTAAAACACAATAAAACCTGATTCTGAGCAACGTAATACTTTTCTGGAATTTCCATTTTGAATGGGCAAGGCAATGTGTAAAGTACAATGAGATCATCTTATGCTAATTTGAGTATATTTCTAAGGTATCTAGGTATCACAGTCACTAGTGAGGTAAAGGACTCTAGACTGATAGACTTTGGCAGTTAAAAGAATCTTTTAGTTATCTTTATTTCGTCTTTGAAAATTTACTTGTAACTTGAAGTGGACATGAATATTCTTTTCATGCATTAAAATTTTAAACAACTCAGCCCTTCTGCTATCTAAAACTGATTCTGTGCTTTTAAAAACTTTCTAATGTTCAGAGAGCTTGCATCATGGGTTTTGTTTGGTTCATTTCAGGGGGAGTTTAAAACTCCAGAATATTGAGGTGTTTCCATAATGCTGTGTACTGTTAGAGTTATCTGAAAAACCTGCCTACAGGATTGACTAGTGATAACTTCATTCTATTCAGTGTAAAGCACAAAGTCTCAAAAGAATTTTCTTTCCTTTTAACAGGTCAAGATGTTTTTGCTAGCCTTTAGGTCGTTAGTATTTTTCTTGTGTATTGTGTAAAATGACATACATGTACTAGCACTAATATATGATTGGTAATTTAGAGTCAACAAATTATTTTGACTCCCAGTCAAAGAAGTTGGGGATTTTAAGGGAGTCTTCCCAAAAAGAGCCCAATAAGTGGATGAAACTACATAGATTAATTTTTTGGAGGAAATTGGATCTGATAATAGAAGTACACCAAAAAAAGGAGAGAAACATTCCATGTTGAAAATGTACTAATGTCCTTAAAGAAATCTGTTTTGCCCCTGGGTATTAATAAGTTTCTTTCAAGTTTCAATAAAATAATTCAACAAATTAACATTCCTGTTCATTTGCTATATTCAGATGCATGTGCTATTTATAAATATTTTGGTCAGCTTCTGCTTTTTTGCTTAAGTGTTAGGTCCCTTTTAGATGAGAACTTTTTTTTCAACACAAACATTAAACTGAGAAATGAAAAAGCTTTAAGTGCTTCTGTTTTTGTTTGCTAGTTTAAGAAAACAAATGTCTGTCTGACATGAAAGTGTGATAGTTATTGATTTTGCCCAGATAAATGTTCAAAGTATAATTTAAATTAAATCTGTCATTTCCTCTGTTACTGTGGCTGGTTTTTTTTACTAACAGTAAAATAGAGGAAGTTCAGCATGTTTATATTAAGACAAATACTTGGTGTAAATTTTGAAGGGTTAGCAGTGTATAATGAACTTCACATTTTAGCTGTTCTTACCATGGCTTTTTGGTGTAAAGATCAGTTAAAAACTGCTGCAGGCCTGCAGGTCATGACCTTACCATTTTAGTCAGCATAGAATATGTTGCTTCTAAAGCAAAAACATCTGTCAGTTTTTTTGTGTGACACGGGCTGTGCGGGGGGGGGGGGGGGGGGGGACATTGTTTAAGCAA